GTATTGAATTTTTCTTTTCTATCGGATTTTGTGCGAGGGGTTCACATATTATGTAGAGAAAAATTCAATTGATATATCCGATTTAATAGTTTCTTAGCAATAGCAGTTTTAATTTCTAGAAAGTTGACGTGAAAACAATTCAAGAAATCACAATCGGCTCAGTAATTCCTTGTCTTTTATTGAATTTATTAATTGTTTTCGCGACTATTTTCTATATATTAACGTCACTATAACTAAAAACCTATCAATAGAATATGAATGTAATGTTACATTGAAATTTTTAAAATAATATCTTTTACGAAATGGCTATTTTGAAAGTTTAAAAAAGTGGAAAAATAAAAAGTTATTTGTAATGAAAATTAAAATCAAAATTTTTTCAACATATGTGTCTCCCTCCCTCCCCACACAAAACCTGTTCATAAAAAAAAATTAATATCGACAGAGTTATTGGCATAAGGATAACGCTGTAGGACACCCTGTATACACAATGTATTTCAATATTTTATTTGACGTGTACTCGTATTGTATCAGTGTCATATTAAGCTTTTTGTCGACCCTAGGCTAAATGTTTATCATAGTACTCCGAAATAGTGGTTGTCATCTTCCTCGCCCAAAAAAAAAAAAAAAAACCTGTATAATATTTCAAACATACAGCTGTGCATTCCCAATCGGAAACTCACGACAGGGATGGTTATGCTTTTCCATAACTGGATATCCAGTGATGGGCCATTACTGATATTATTTTATAGTACTGGAACAGTACAGAGCAATTACAATCAAAAGTACGATAAATACGAAAAATTAAAACGAAAGTACACAACAACATGTTTCGGAATACGTCACCGGGTAAGGAATCTAGGACCTACTTATCGAGAATGAAATTCGTTCTATGGATACAGAAGTTATCAAGTCAATTATAAAAAATTAATATTATTTTACGCCGTCATCATGAGGTTTAGCCCACCATATTGTCAGTGTCCAACAACAATCAAGGTTCTGAACCTTTTCCTCCCGTTTTCTGTTATCACTTTCAACATCTAGATCATTATTCTGTGTTTCGTCTGATCAACGTTTTATCGGCCTTCCCCAAGACCTTATTCCCCTGGCTTCCATTGGACCGCCGCTACTCCAACCCTCCTTGTTCCTTTCATACCACGTGGCGTGTCCCGACCGGTCATAATTATTTTTTTCACATTCAAATAAAAAATTATTTACCTAATACAAATGTTCCACCCATCCCAAAGTTACCGCCCTTTAGCCTACTATCAACATGTCTTTAAATTCGCCATTACTCACTACTACATCAAAATTTAGTTTTTTTTTTTTACAAATATATTGAATAAATACGAATGACACGTTCATAAATCGCGCCACGTGTATTTATTTCAAATTTGTTAAACAAATATAATATCGAAAACGTATGTCATAAACGAAAGACCAAGAAAAATAGCCCCGAGATCTTTGAATTTGCTGGAAATGAAGTGCAAATCGATTATTAAAAAAAAAAAAAAAACCAAACATGTGTATTACAAACGCGTTTATGACATAATAATATTATTATTTATTTTACTCGAGTCGTGTCGAAACTTTTAATATTATTTATTTTTCCTCGGGGTACCTATACGCATTTATTACCCGACCAACAACGCTGAAATATATACTTCGTATACACATGGACGATTGTACTTGTACAATATTTATGCGATGAATATATGAAGAAAAAAAAAAAGCCGACATACTTCGCGTTACGAGTGTACCGCTGTTGTAAGCGGGAAATGGAGAAGGAAAATAATATAAGCGATAGGGGATTATTTAATTAAACATATCTGTGCAAGTATTCGCAACGATAGATAAAACATTGGTAACGAAAAACGATTCTGAGCCGTTGTCCGGTTAAACAGGATTTGTTGTACTTGTTTTGAACATTGTTAACTTCCTATTGATTTGCAACTACAGTGAAAATAACAATGTTTTCCGTGTATTTTCGTCTAAAATTGTTTAACGTTTTTATGAAGCCAAAAAAGTATAAGTAAGTCGGAAAATATAATAACCTAATATTACGACAGACCTTTGTATCGAATTTACGAGAAATTTTTAAGAAGACAAAAAAAAAATGATACGCAAGGTAAAACGAAATAAAAACGAATAAAATAATATATAAAAAACAAAAAAATTACATACATCATGTACGTAAGTGAAACCAATACACAGAAGTGTATAAACTATATAGATGTAGGTGTATGACATACAGTTTTACTATGATGCGTGTGTGTTTGTTTTTTTTTTTTAATCGTGTTTATTTTATCTAGATAAATGAGAAATGAGTGATACGGGCCATCAACTTAGATAACAACAGATCGAATCGTCTAGTCTGGGTAGATATTTTTAAAAATCGTAATATTTATTTGAAACGATCGGTAAAATATTTAATTTACATTAATATAATTAGGTCACATTAAGCGCACGTTATTTTTGAAATCTAGATGTGTACCAAATCTTAATTTCACTTAGTTTTGTAGTATTTTTTTTTTTTTTTATTTCTTTGGGTATAGTTAAAAATTTACTGATTATCTCCATCTAGAAATCTGTCATAGCAAATATCACTTATCTCTATCTATAGATATTTTTTAAACCTATTATAATATATCAATGTTAATGCAATTCTCGCTACGCTTAAAATCGAAAAAAAATTTTAATAAAAATTATTCGCGTGTAGTATTTGAAATTTTGTATAGTAATATGGTATGTTTATAAGTTGTTATATTTTATTTTATTTTTTTTTTCGTATAAACAGTATTACGTTATATACACTGTACTATACCGTATACAAAGTTTAGAAATTCATCGTTTCGCGTAAGTATATATACATCTATATATTCTATATAATACACAGTTTTGAACTTTGCGGTTGATTTAAACAATTTTAATGGTTTTTATTATTATTATTATTATTATAACTACAGTAAAAAGTAATTATAATACTATACGCTTTTTTTTTTTTTTTTTTTTTTGTAAAAATAAATTAAAACGTTTTTTTTTTGCTCAATGATTTTTTGAGTTAAAACTTTTCGCAATGACAACCTCGGGGTTTTTTTTGTATTTATTTTAATAAATATTCTGAAATAAAATATATTTTCTAGAAAAACGTTGATGTACCGGTGTATATAAACAATATAGTATATCGAATTCGATACTGCGTTGCATGTACGCATTTCGAGTTGTGTGTTTAGCGGATTAATCGTAATAAAAAAAAGCCGAGAAATTGCGAATGGTATACTGTAATCGGAATAAGTACAGATAAAATACCCATTAAATAATTACTCGTAAATAATCACAAACCGTAGTATGTAATATTTTTTTTATGACGGATGGGAATTAAAAAAAAAATAATAATACAATGTATATAAATTCTTGAAACGTGCACAAAACAGGGCTTGTCAATCGAAATAAACACGACCGTAAAAATTACACGAATTCCGGTAAAATCGTCGGAAGTAAAATATTTGAATTATTCAGTTATCAAATCATTTAGCGGAAAAGCGATACGAGGAAAAATGTTTTAACAAAAACGGAAATCAATCGAAAAAAACGGTATTCAAACACAATGTGTTTGACAGAAAATTGTAGAACAAAATCAATTTTAAAATTACATTATTGACGGCGCGTAGCACAAGTTTTTAAAATATCGAATTGATTCGTCATAATACATTATATTTAAAATTTTACGAAATCCGCTTTAATAACACGGCCGCGAATCGAACAATTTTAAAATTCTATTCATTTGAAAATACATTGCGTGTTATAACTGCCGTCCTACAAAAAAAGACACGGACTTGCACACGATGGGCTGGTCACTGTCGTAGGCGCGAATTCGGGAAGGTACGAGGATATAGAAAATAATTTGTCTATCTGTACGCAACGATTAATCTTTGCTAATGAAAAACGATTCTGAGCGAAGTTCGCTTGTACGTGTTTTGAAAGGCCGTGATATTTACGATTTGAAAATAATATATTTTCCCGTATTTTCCCGGTTTTTCTCAATTATTGTAAAACCACCTGGGAAAATCAAAAAAAATAACCCTTTCAAAGTACCACCAGAGTTAAATTCTCTTTCAGAAAAAGTGCTGTACTTGAAAATCGGAGCGAAATTGCTAGGAGAAAAGTTGTCAAGAGAAAATAATTACAAAACAAAAAACAAAAAAAAAATCACTGTAAAACCAATACCAATATCTAAAATACGTTCAACTGAACTAGCACGGTCATGAATAATGCAATTATCGGTAAAAGATACGCGTTTGAACGTCTTAACTCGAAATTTAATTGTGAAAAATAATAAAACGAAATAACATGGTACGTTCGAATGCGGAATATTAGTTGGAGTTTAAAGAAAACGATAATTATCGTATTAAAAACGATTGAATTAATTGAAGTTTCAAATACCTGTTGCGGTAAATCCAAACTGCCGTCGATTCGGCCGTTCTTGTCGGAATACGATAAGACCGTTCCAAACGAAATCGCATTTTTAAAGAACGCCCTTTTTAAATACCGAAGGTAAAAAAACATTTACCGATTTTAACTCATCGGCTGCTTTTCAAAACAAAAAAAAAAAAAAAATTGTTAAAATCACAAATAAACGTATTTCGACTCCTGAAAACCATAAATTGTGCCGCTTAGACTCTTTTGCCGTGTCACCGTCGATATACTCAACGGTTATCTGTACGCGACACAACGCGCATCGCGTGGAAGTCTGGCGCATAACTGTAAAATTGTAAAAAAAAATTCATAATTTTCGGCCGGGTCACACAAAGACCCGGCCCCGCCCCCTCACGTCCACTCGCCACGCCACTGATTTACAACGTCATCGACCGGATATCGCGTTATGTTCGCCATTAGTATATGGCTTCGGTATTACAGCTCGACTTTAAGCCCAGGAAGTTGTCGTTAATCGGCGGCACGGCGGAATGCTAATCACGTTGGCCGGGCGGGAATTAATTATTCTGTGTGTGTGTGTGTGTGTGTGTGTTATGTATGTGTATAAATCATTCATCAGCGCGCGCCAAACGTTCTCCGGGAAAAGGCGTAGTATAACTAAACATATACACACACACACACACACACACACACACACACACATAATATAACACGGAGAGGAAGGGAAATCGGCGGCGACGGCCTTTGTGCGAGCAGCGATTTCGGTAAGTCCTAAACGCGCGCGGAGGGTTCGACAGTGTTTGGGTAATACGTTGATTAATTGGATTGATTTCGACAGTTTACTATATTATAATAGGTATACGTAATATGCTGCCGGGCACCGGCTCTCGCGGGCTTTTAATTAAAACGCGAACGGCCATTTGTTGCGGGTTGTGTACCTGCAGCAGCAGTTATACGACGTGTGGACCCGCCAGATTTTTATCGGGGAAAAAAAAAATTTATTTATATATATATATATATGCACATAATATCCAAAATCTATATCGCTTGTTTATTTTTTTTCTGTTTGTTTGTGTTTTTTTTTTTCGTTTCGCTCGCCCGCGTTTAAAACAAGGGACGGCGGCGGGAATGAGAAGAGATATGCGCGCGCAATGCAGCGTGTTACATGTACCGAATAATATAAAGGAAAACGGTCAATTTCCAGTCATTTATCTCGGGGAAAACGCGCATTTTTCAAACGTCGAGTTTAATTTGCAACGGGCGCGATATATTATTATATTTCACCGGAATAGAGTGTACCTAATAAGTTTCCATAAAACAACAACAAACAAAAAAAAGACAAAAAAAAAAAACTACTGCAGTAACTTTATAAAAAATTACGCAGAATTAATTCCGAACGATCCAATTAGGTAAACTTAATACTGCGGAATGAAAATAATAACGCGAATACCGATTCGTCGACGAGAGAGTGTTAAGAGGCTATTATAATTTGTATTCCTTTTTATTCTCGCCTACACGTCGGGCACGCGTAACATAAAAGTATTGTTTACAGTATTAATAGCGAGGTGCTACAATCAAACCTATTTTTAATAAACTATTTCAAAAACCACCTAGATCTCTGATCGTATTTTCAAATATTTAAAACGACAATAATAAAAAAATTATATATTTTCGAATTTTTTCTGTCCTCCGATAAGTTATAAGTGTTTAAACGAATTGTTAGCGTTCTAATATTATGACAATTTATAGGTGATGAACTCGAGTTGTTCTACAACCGAAAGCGTAATGTTATATTATTGTTCTCGAATAGTTTTTCAAGTTTTAAGTTTTTTTTTATCATGTCGGAAGAGGATGCATCGTCGGAGAAAAATGTCAAGTCATCGAGAGAAAGTCAATGGGATATGAGTTCTGACATGGAAACGCGGAGAGTCGCAACCGACTAATCGAAAAGCTGGAGAAGACGAAGAAGAAAGTTTTTTTATAGTTCGATCCAAGCCTATACGGGAAGTCATACGATTCCTAAAATACAGATGTGTATGCAGTCACTAGTTTTGCGTAATTTCACGACGAATAGCGAAAACAATTGTACGAAAAATAAAACGTCCGCTGCTCGGAGATTAAAAATCATAACACTTCTAAACGGTGTGTACCGATAGTTTCGATTTCTTTATGGCGCATTCGCATATTGTCTGATCAACAGTGTAAATATTTACGCGCGCAGCAGAAAAACCCTTGTTTACTCTTGGCTAAAAAAAAAAAAAACCGTACCTTTTTATCGTTCCTAAATTTTAAGACGGAAATATAATAATAACGTATCATCGCGCAAGCGATCCGCCGTCGTCCGTCTCCCGTTGGATTTCCATAATACGAAGCGCGGCGGTTGCGTTCAAGACTTACGTTGGCCGCGTACAACAATACAAAACATCATAATGCCGCGTGCAAACATCATCATAATAACAAAATCTCCGAACCGCATCGGAATAAAATTACCGATAGCATAAAAATAAATAAATAAATAAATACGTCCTGCGAGGCTACGTTTTTATCCTCGGACGGGAAATATAACGCGAACCCCGTTTTTCTTTTTCATTCTTTACCACCGCACTCCGTATTATGCGGTATAGATTTTTGTAAATACCAAAAAGGCTTACTCTTCACATTATATTATATAGTATATCCGGTCGAGCAGTAAAAGGTTTTCTGTATATACGATGTACAGCAGCGTATGCGGTACATGGTAGGAAATCGTACTAGACAATTTACTTGTTTACCGACCCTTTTAAGGTTTTTTTTTTTTTTTTCTTTCTTTCTTTTTCTTCGAAATCCGACTGTATATAAGAAATTCTGCGAGACTTTTTCATCGAACCGTTACAAAACAAGCGGTCGTTCCCGGATTTTACACGAGCAAATAATAGTATTATCATCATCGAAAGAGTTGTACTATCATTATAGGTCTATGTGCCTATACGCAATAATAATGTATCGTTGGTCCGCGTGTATCATCACAATCAGTTTCGTACGGGAGAACGCTAAACTTTGACTTCTCGCAGGAGATCTTCAATATAACAGTGAAAACGTGGTTGTTTTTTTTTTTGCTTCTTGTAAATACCGCCGCATACCACTTGACGATGTTCCGGAGCGGAGGTTTTTTCGAAATAATACCGAGTCTTCGCGCGGGCGATGTATCGTATTATATTTTTACGAACCATTACCTGTAATAAATAATTTTCTTGTAAAAGTCGATTTCGGGATTATTACCCGACGGCACTGCTGGCGGGTGAAACTTTGCCGAGCCGCGTTCCTGCCGCATAAGAGTCGCCCGGAACGCGTCCGGGGGTGTAAAATTAAATAAACGCCCGGCCGCGGCAGCCGCGGGTATTAATAAAATAAAATTTTTCCTTCCCGCCGCAAAAGTTTCCCGTACACTCGCGGAGCGTGCGACTTTTGATAAATCGTTTTTCAAATATTATTTTATTAATACAACACCGCGCGCCGGTGTGGCGGCCGCGGCGCTCGACGTACGAGTAAACAACGGGCGAACGGCTCCGAGCATAGGCGCGTAATAGCTCCGGCGTGCGCGGTGTCGGAATGACGTCGTAAAGACTGACGGCGACGATTAAAAACACTGTCCGATATTATAATAATTAATCACGGAATACTTTTCGCCGTTAAGTATGAATACGGTACGCACCTGCAGCAAGCTTGCACCGCCGAAATAATATTATGATTAACGAGCGCCGTCGACCGCGCGAGTTCGAACCGATACTCGTTGTACCGTAAATAGCGTAATCGTTTTGAGCGCTCCGGTTCGCAGGGTTCGGCCGGGGGTTCTCGTGTTCCTTCTGTCGGGCGCTCAGAAAAACAATTCTATCCCGTTTATTATGAAAAAAAAAAAAAACAATATTGCGCCCGCTAATATAGAAACGATCCGGAGAAATCGTTGAAATCGAAATTCCCGTTTATAAAGTGTACCGCGCGGCCCGAAACCAGAGCGGTATAATGCTCGAGCTGTCCAATGGCCCGCGGTATTAATGTGAATGTACGCGCAAAACACGGTCGGCAACAAAGGGGGACGGGGCGAAAACTCGACGACCTTTGAACGGAACGAGTGCGCAGACGTATTTACGGTCTTGTTATAGACAATGGCGAGAACGCCGAACTACAGAACGACCGGGGAAGTGTTCAGTCCCGCCAGTCATATCAAAAGCCGATATTGAACCGCCGTTCACCAGCAGTAATCCGACGTGTCGACCGGCGACGACGGAGAAGGCCTAGCCGCCGTACCCGGGTAACGGCTGACGGATGCGTCCTGTTACGGACGCGCTCGGGGAATGCGAAGACTGACGCTGAACACGCGTGCGAGGAACGGGCGCGGAAGACGGCGAGGATATTGGGAGAATAAATCGGGAAACGGCGGGATCCGCGGGGGGCTGCTGAATGGACCGAAAAAACTGAACAGACGAAGAATAAGTAGGAGATTATACATAGAAGCGGGAGGACAGAAACGTAGGCGTAATGATACACATATATATATATATATATATAATACGCCGTGTGGGCTTACAACACTCCGGGGCTGTATTGTGCGGAGCAGTAAAACGCGTAAGTCCGCAACGGGGCAGTGGTGAGTAGTGATCGATAAACGGCCGTAGAGATTCGACGGCGGAAATCGCGGACCGGCTGCGGCGAGGGGACCGAAAAACCTTTTGGCGCGCTTGTCGCGGTGGCGTCGAAATCGCGCCGAAATTCCCGGCGACTTCGGCCGTCGTCTAATCCCCGCGCGCGCTATAATTCCGGTGCGGTTTTTAACGGCCGTTTTTATTGCGCCGAAACTCGGTTTGTCTACACAACGCGGTCTTGTACGTCGTAAATATAGGTAAGCTAAACGGCCTGCGCGCGATAGAAGACCCGTAAAAGTTTCGTCCGCGACGTTCGCCGCGCGGTCCCCTTTGTGGCGGTCGTCCCCGTCCGTCATAACCGACGAAAGAACGCGCGCGTTCGTAGGTCACCCACAAAGCTCGTCTATATCGGGGGAGGGGGATTGGGGGGCACCGTATAACTGCAATTATTATCGCGATAAAAACAACCCCTCCCTCCCCGTCCCCTCGTCGTGAAATCGCGTTAGGTGAGGTCCGAATAGATCGCGTCCCGCGTTCGCCGCGACACGGTCAAGCCCCGCGCGCGTAGGCGCGGCGCTCAATTAAGAATATTTACGACGGCGGCGTTAGTCTCGCTCGGCCGACCTCCCCCCCGGAAATATACCCGAGCACGCCTATGGCCGTCGATAAACGCCTGCGTCCGGTATAAACGCGATAATTATTATTACGGTCGTGATGGAATACATCGCGAATACACGAATAAAATATACGCCCGACGCTTGGTATTGCGAAACAAATGGGCTTTTGCCGGGAAACGGAAGCGTTCAAAGGTGATCGCCGCATCGACGAGTTTCCGAGTGAGTGGCCGCAGAAAAATGAAAATGTACGCCGTCGGTTTAAACTTTCGCGGGATCCACGTGACACCTACACGAACTGATCTGGGGGAAAAAAAACGACAATTTAGACCTTGTTCGGCTACGTGCAGGAACAACATTTGGGGGGTTCAAACCACCCCCCAAATCGACTTTCTTAATTTTCAATAAAATAACAAACACTCTTAATAATTTATCGATATTATTTAACAGTAATATAAAAAGATCACGG